CGTGGGCATCTGTAACCCTAGCACTCCTGTGGCAAGACAAAAGGTGGAGAGACAGGAGAATCCCCCAGAAATCTGTGAGCCGGCACAGAGAGACCCTGTCTCAACAAGATGGAAGGAGAGAACCAACTGAGAGATGTTCTCTGATGTCCACATACACTTCGAGGCATGCCCCCCCACACCCCAACACACTAACAAATAAAACAAATAGGAACAGAGAACAGAGGAGATGTTCAACATTTGAAAGTGTTCCTTTTGTAGGAGGAAGGTCCTTGTCCAGGCTGGGGATGGGGTGGAGAGGAGGGGGAGGCACAGTTTAACCAAAGAGCTAAAAGCCAATAGAAATGAACCCTCACTCGGCATGCGAACCCTTGCTCAGTTTTGCGGTCTTAGAAGCTCAAGCTCAGTTCACTTCCTGCAGATCAAGCTGTAGAACTCTGAGCTCCTTCTCCAGCACCGTGTCTGCCCGCATGCCGCCATGTTTCCCACTGTGCTGATGATGGACTAAACCTCTGAAACTGTGAACCAGCCCCAGTTAGATGTCTTTCTTTGTAAGGGTTGCTGTGGTCATGGAGTCTCTTCACAGCCAGACACCTTATCTGAGACACGGGGCCTAAGATCCCTGCCCTCTGATTCTGTGATTCACTGTCCGGGACTCTCCTAACTGGGACTTCCTAAAATGAGACTCCGTCAACTGAATGACTTAGTAACAGTTTCTAAGGACTGTTTTAGCTTGAACATGCTGTTCTGCAAGTGACAAACCAAGAAGATGCGAGTCTGAGTTCCACACTGGAGCGGGAGGGTCATACCAAGTAGCAGTGTGTCCCATTAGGGTTCTCTAACAGCCTGGCCCAGGTCAGCAGCAAAGGAAGTACCCACATTCACAGATCCGTAACTAAAGCCATCTTAACCCTGGCCCCCACTGCTTCCTGTGTCAACCTATCCTTCAAAGTGTGGGGGTGCTCCTCCCCTTTCCTGAGAGTCTCCTGTACCCCAGGTTGGCCTTCACTCTGTAGTTTCAGATTCATGACCATAGTGGTTCTCAACCTTCCTAATGCTGGGACCCTTTATGTTCCTCTCGCTGTGGTGACTGAACCCCAACCATGAAATATGCTCGATGTTACTTCACAACTGTTATGAATCATAATGCAAATATCTTAGGTGACCCCTGTGAAAGGGTCATTTGACCCCCAGAGAGGTCAAGACCCATAGATTGTGAACCGCTGCTCTAGCAGGACATGGTAGTGATACCTGTAACCATAGCATTTAAGAGGTGGAAAAGCCTGGGAACCAGGAGGTCAAGATCACTCTTACTACATAGTACACTCCAGACTAGCATGAGCTAAATCAGACTTTATCTAAAAAAAAAAAAAATATTTGAGTTGTTGACTTGGGTTTAGTGAAAACCTGTCATTCGGTGCTGGGGAGATAGCCTGTCATTAAAAGTTTACCCTAAGCCAGGCAGTGGTGGCACACATCTTTAATTTCAGCACTTAGGAGGCAGAGGCTGGCAGGTCTGTGAGTTCCAGGCCAGCCAGGGCTACCAAGTGAGACATTGTCTCAAAAACAAAAACAAAAAAACAAACAAACAAAACAAAAAAGCCAACAGAACGAAGATATAATTTTCAATAATTTTAAAATTACCTAATTCCTTCCACTATCTTCTTTTACTTATTTCTATGAAGCAGCATTCTCAGCTATGACTACTATAAAACTTCAAATTACTGGGCTGGCAAGATGGCTCGGCAGGGAAAGGCAGCTGTTGCTAAGCCCAGACACCCTGAGTGTGATCCTCTGGACCCACGAGGCCGAAGGGGAGAAGGGAAGGCTCTGAGTTGTCTTTTCACCTCCACATGTCCGTTACCCCCACAACCCTCTGCAAAAAGAACGTAACTGAAAATATTTTAAAGCCCAAATAGCAGGGCTAGAGAGGCAGTGTAAGCACCTGCTGTTCTTCCCGAGGACCAGAGTTCAGGCCCCAGGGTCTGTGTTGGGTGGATAACCTGTGACCCCAGCTTGACAGCCTCTTTTGGTATCCATGAGCACCCACAGACATGTGGCATGCACTCACATAAACACATACATCTGAAAATAAAATAAGGGGCTGGCGAGATGGCTAAATGGTTAAAAACACTTGGCTGCTCTTCCAGAGGACCCGGGTTCATTCCCAGAACCCACATAGCAGTCCAAGGGGATCTGACACCCTCACACAGACATACATGGAGGCAAAACACCAATGCACATAAAATAAAAATAAATAAATCATTTAAATGAAATAAAAAGAAAATAAATCTTACAGAACTTAAACAGAGGTAGACTCTGAAAAATAATGAAGATTCCCTTTGTCTGGAGTATCACATATTCAAGATGTATTTCTTTATATAAAAATAAACAGGCATATACATCTCACTACTATGGAAATTTAGTCTCTAAATAAACAGTAAAATTAAACGTATACCAAAGAAAAAAATTCCCTTTGGTATAGGTTTAATTTTACTGCTTAATTGTCTTTAAATAAATTTATGACTCACTATTAGTAAATGTTTGATCTGTAATCCTCCCAGACATCTGTGACCCTAGGCCCTGCTGACCTGCAGCTCCGTGAGGCCAGGGACCAGCACCATTCACCCAGCCCTGCACAGAGTACTTATGCTTAGGAGGCATATGGGTGTCTGATTAATGAGGTTTTGGAGACCCTTCTGCCTTTTGCCATTCCCAATTCCTTCATCAATATGTGTGTCTGTTGTGGGACTCGGGAACACTTGAGATGAAGGGCCCTGTAATCTCTCTCAGCTCAGAGAAAGCTATGTAATCAATACATAAACCTAAAAAGAAAATAGTCCATTCCCTCCATGGGCATAAAGTGCCCACAGCCCATAGTCCTTCTTTATACCCAAAGCCTCTTCCAAACATGTTGCTGGGCCACCACTGTTTAGAGATACTCCCCGGACCTTTTATCCCATGCCTACTGAGGCTCGACTTTACAAAGCAGCCACCATCTTTGTTTTGTTTTGAGACAACGTCTTACGTAGTCCAAGTTCTAAAATTTACTATGTAGCCAAGGCCAGACTTAAATTTCTGATCCTTCTGGCTGTCTCCTGAGTGCTGGGATTATGTGAGAGTGTCCTTGTGTTCAGCTCAGCCTTAGGTTTTACATAGTCATGAGAACGTAATTCTCCTTTCCTTTCCCAGGGCAAACTGTTAAGAACCACGCACCCAATGAATTCACTTAAAACAAAGATTGGAGAAGAGAGAGCTAGCGCAGCATACACCTCCCAGGGAGATTTAAGCTTTAAAATGAGTTTATGTTCAGCCTCAAAGAAATACTATCAGAGGCCTGGAGAGATGGCTCAGCAGTTCCAGAATTCCATACGATGGCTCACAACCATCTGTAATGGATCAGATTCCTTCTGCTGGTGTGCATGAAGGCAGGGCACTCATACACATGAGTAAATAAATCTTTAACAACAACAAAAATCACTAACAGAGGTTGAGTAACCCTTAGATAGAGTGCTTCCCCCCCCCCCCCAGGTTTTGAAATACTTGCATATACACAACAAGAAATCATGAGGCTGGAACCCAAGATGGCTATCACTAACCCTATGGGATGACGGTGATTTTGTGCAATGTTTTAAGCACATTGTGTCTCAACTTTGTCAGATGACATGAGATCTAAAAATGATCTTTCTCCCTGCAACGCTATGTTAATGTTAAAAAAGTTTCAAAGTTTAGATTTTGGATTAACAACGTTCAAACTTAGCAGAATTTCATTTAAAAAACAAAAACAAAAAAACCCCCAAAACCTTAAAACTCAGGTTTTAAACTTAGGGAGATAAGTCAGTTGGTAAAGTTGCCTCAAAAACTTGAGGACCTAAGTTCAGATCCCTAGCACCCATGAAAAGTCAGTCTTGGAAGCCCACACCTATAATCTCAGCACTGGGGAGGCAGAGATAGGCAGACCCCATGTTCACTGGCCAGCTAGCCTAGCTCAATGGCAGAGCTCCAAATTCAGTGAGACCCTGTCTCAAAAAATAAGCATAAGCCAGGAGTAGTGAAGCATGCCTTTAATCCCAGCAGAGGCAGGTGAATCTTTGTGAGTTCAAGGTCAGTCTGGTCTGCGGTCTACAAAGTGAATCCCAGACTAGCCAAGGCTATGCGGTGAAACCCTGCCTACAAACAAACAAGGTAATCGAGGAACACAACACCCAGGGTAACTCAGGCCTCCACATGCATGCAAGAACACAAGGTATACACACACACAAACACACGCACGCACGCATGCACGCACGCGTGGCATGGAGGATGGTGTGTGTCATGGCGGGTGGTACAGCATGGACGGACTCCAGATATTCCCAAACCTGAAGTTTTCTCTGAAGGCCAGTCCAGCAAGTGGACACACGTGGGAAACATTGTGGCTTCCTACACAGCACCATCCTGAAATTTAGAACAAAAAAGAGATTGCTCACCATGTGACCCGCCCTTAGGATCCAGTAGAAGGCGAGGTTCTTATAGGACTTGACGAACGCAGATGTTTCCAGAGACTCAGGATTGCTGTACAGGGCCTTCCATTTCAGCTGGTTGAATTTGGACAGATGTGGCCACTTCAGCTTCCGCAGCCAGGCCTCCTGACCTAGGGAGAGGGGCCAAGGAAAGGGATCAGTACCAAGAGTGTGGTGGAGTCAGGGGCAGAGAAAACAATCTAGGTCCTATAACTTATTGCTGCCCAGGTGTAATGCACAGGAAATTCACTGAGATCTTGTTACAAGCAGTTCTTGGTGAGGCCTGTGAACCCCTTTCAGGAAGATTCCCATCGATACTTGGGGCTGAGAAATCCAACAACTAAGAGGTTGGCTTTTTTTTTTTTTTTTTTTTTTTTTTTTTTTAAGAGAATGTCTTGCTAAATGTCAAGTATTCCAGGCTGGCCTTGAACTCACTCTACTGCTCATCTGGGACTTGATATTTTAATCATTTTGTCTTAACTTTGGTGGCTATCATCAGTGGCAGGACACTAGCCCACTTGAGCATGTGGCTCTGGCAGGCCTTGCCCTTCTCCCCAGTTCCCTCTGCCTTGCTAAAAGTTTACATTACATTTCTGAAGCTAACCCCCAAGGTCTATTCCCTTATTTGGCCAGTCCCTCCTCCTGAGGCTGACTACCAAGATCCAGCTATCAAAGGATTGAAATCAAAAGCTCCCTTTGGTTCACCTGATTAACAAACCCAATTAAAATTTTAAGCACCTCATCCTAACAAGGGATTTCCCTCTTTAGAAACTGCAATTTTCCTATGTGCCATGTCTGTCTCCTCTCCATCCAGAGGCAGTTCTTTGTCCCTCTGGGATAAATATCCCTGCTCCCTTGCCCTTGCTTCCTTCCCCTTCTCCTGTCTTTGTCTTTGTCTCTTATCCCTGCCCTGTCCTTCTGGGACAAATAAATCTCCTTTGTGCTGAGAACTTGGTCTTGGGGGTCTTGAGCTGATACTTTTCCTACCAATCACAGGCCTGGGTACTAGGCACAGCTTTACCTGTGGTTTCTAAGATCTGGTCTCTAAGCATCCACAGGACTCTACTGCCATCAGATAAAGCATGTGGCTTTCAGATAAGGTAATGGGATCCTGCCTGAGATCCTACAGAGACCAGTTCTCCTGGGGTCTTGGAAATAAGGGTTGTTAGTGGTTAGTGTTTAATACCTGTAACACTGCACAGAAATAAAGCCTTTCCCCAGTGAAGTTGCATGTTCAAGAGCCAGGAAGGCTTTGGCAGGAGGGTGACAGACTATTATTCTTTCCTTTAATCATACCCAGGCACCCCAGAATTAGAAAGACCTAGAATTCTCTCAGGCATCACAGCTCAAGAGTTGTAGTGGCGAATTATTTGTATTTCAGTAAAAAAATCTTGAAGACCAGAGGCAAAGTTAAAGCCACTAGAGGTCAGGCAATGGGGACACACACCTTTAATCCCAGAATTTGGGAGACAGAGCCAGAGGGATCTCTGTGAGTTCGAGGCTACCCTCGAACAAGGGCTACACAAGATCAATGCAGAAACAGATCCAGGTGGTGGCGGCTCACATCTTTAATCCCAGTCCTAGGGAGTCACATGCCTTGATCCAAGCACTAGGGAGGCAGAGGCAGGTGGATCTTCCTGAGTTCGAGGCCAGCCTGGTCTACAGAGCGAGCTCTAGTCTGGAAGGGGAAAAAAAAATAATGCTTATTTTGCAGTCACTCAGCCTTGGTAGAAGGAAGACTTCTCTAGTGGCTTGGCTGCCTCGCTTTTCCGGTTTTCGAGTTGAACCCCAATTTCTGTCTCTTGGTTTTTATACTCATGCTACAGAGACTAGTCAGGGGTTGATGGATGTAGCAGAAAATGGTATTCCTCCTGATATTAACGCCACCAACCCCAAGGCTAATGTAATTAAGGCCATTTCCTTCTAGCTTGACCCGTGATTGCTTCCACGTGTCCCTCAGAGTCGGCGCCTACCCATGGTGTCCACAATGAGATCCAGCTGTCCATTATACACAATCACATTGACCCCAGCTTCCAACAACTCATCCACAATGTGGATGACAGGCTTCATGAAGTCCCCTTCCATGCTTATGAAGACGTAAGATGACTGGGCTACAAAAGCAGAAGGAGAGAGGGGTAGCAGGTTAGAATGGGCCAGATTAAGAAATATCTTTCAACCCAAGCATCCTAAGAGCCGGTACCTAACAGTCCCTAGGTAGCCAACCAAGGCTGTATGCCAGGTGCTCCACAGAGGAACCAACTCAACTGGTCAGCAATAGCTGGGTGGAAAGGAAACAGAAAGAGCGCACATGGTCCCTTTGCTTGGGAGCTTGCCATGCACAACAAGGAACAGGAATCTGCAGAAGGAAACAGAGAAGTAGAGGCCCAGAAACGCTTTCAGCTGGTCCACTTGGGAATATACTGTACTCTGGGCCGAAGCGAGTTTGCGGGTATGTAGTCACAAGGAATGAACCTGAACAGGGGGATACCGTACCACAGACCGAACCAGGTCTAAGCTACTTCAGAGCAGGCCTCTAGGAAAGGCAGATGGCTAAGACGTGACTCTCAGCCAACAGACAGCACAGATTCTTGCTGCCCGACCACCTGACCCCCCATCATAGCTGGGGACAACATAACTAGCACCGCCATTCCTCTGACAGGCATGGGGCTAGGCAAATATTACAGAGGCGATTATTACTTCATCACTACGCTGGAAGATAAGGAGTCTGGACAAAGTGTAAGTAAAGGAGGCTCAGGGAGTCTCAGGAACACAGCCAGGGGAAATAACCAGCCACTGCTGAGATAAGACTCGAATTCGGGCCTGGTTGACCAACTGCAACTCACAGCCAAGGACAGCTTGTCCTTTTCCATTATTTGGATTTTAAAAAAGATTTAGTTTGTATTTATGTGCGTGCGCACGCTTGTGTGCACCTGTGTATATTTAGGCACACCACATGCGTGCAGGGCCCGTGGAGGCCAGAAGAGGGCACTGGATCTCCCGAAACGGGAGTCACAGGTTGTAAGCTACCCAGTGTGAGTGCTGGGAACTGAACTCAGGACCTCTGCAAGAATAGCAAGGGCATTAACCACTGAGCCATCTCTCCAGTCCTGATTTGATTCTTTCTTGAGACAGAGTCTCACTGTAATCCAGACTGACCCAGAACTTACTGTGATACTCTTACCTCAGCCTCCCAAGTGCTGGGTTCACATACGTGAGCCACTACACCTGGCTATTTAAAGACATTACTCGTTCATTTACTATGTAGCCCATGCGGGCCTTGAACCCTCAATCGTCCTGCGTCAGCCTGCTGAGAACTGGGACTGACTGCAGGTGTCTGCCACTATACGGAGCCCCCTGCAGCATCTAACACCATAGTCTGCTGTTTACTTGATGCAGAGACATGAGGATTCTAAGTCAGGAATGAGCTCCAGTGATACGGACTATGAGACAGTGACCCATGAACCCTAACAAAGTCAGGACCAGGGTCAAAACATAGTTCTTACTGGACACCTTTAATCCCAGCACTCAGGAGGCAGAGGCAGGTGGATCTCTGTGAGTTTGAGGTCAGCCTGGGTCTACGGAGTGAGTTCCAGGACAGTCAGGTATATTACACAGAGAAACCCTATCTGGAAAAAAACCCAAAACCAAAAACAGAATGAATGAATGAATGAATGAATGAATGAATAAAAACAAACCCCATAGCTCTCAGCAGTTACAAGAGGGGCAATCTGAGAAGGGGCCTCTGACCTTAATAGCCTTGGGGTATCTTGGTCGTAGACCAAACAAATGCCACTTTTCTTGTTTAAAGGCTCCTATGGGACTAACTAGGATCCTGCCCAGGATTTCTATCTGGCTGGTCTCTAAAGACGCCAGTGTTTCCACACTGTGACCTCCAGACCAGAACAGACATGGCAGGACCATATCTAGTACCAGAATGTTTGAAAGGCCAGCACGGGAACTGGGCAGACCCCGCCTATGTACATGGACCACCTGATATCCTTCAAAGGACCTTTGGCCAGAAATCTCACATGTGACCGGCTATAGAATTTTTAATAAAAATGCAGCATTTTTTTGTCATAATTTAAAAAAAAAAACCTATTGATTTACTGATGGTGGGCGGGGGTGGAAGCAGATACATGCCATGGGGCACAGGCAAAGAGGTCAAAGGATAACTTTCGGGAGTCTGTTTTCTCCTTCTAGCACGCTGAATCCCAGAGACTGAAGTCGGGTCAACAGGTTTGATGGCATGTACCTCTAACCAATGAGCTATCTCCTGGTCTTTTAATTTTTTTAGAGACAGCGTTTTTGCTAAATTGCCCAGGCTGGCCTCAAACTTGTGATCTGATGTCAGCCTCCCAAGGACTGGGTATTGAGGTGTGTATCACCTCACTGTGTTGCAAAGGTAAAGGGTATAATAGTCCCCATGTATCCATACTAGGCTTCAACAACCATCGACTCATAACCAATCATGTACCACTTCCCACCCACGTCTCCGCCAGCCCCTTACTCTGATCTGCTTTGGCCACGTCACTGACTGATTCCACATCCGCTGCAGACAGGAACGGTATTTGACTTACAGCAGACTGTCTTCACCAAGGAAACCCAGGCTACAAGTTAAGGGCTCTCAAATCACATCCCCCCTCCCAGCTCCCACCCACCACACACAAAGGACACTTGATTAGGCCATTCAAGTACCTCCCCAGGAGCAATCCTCAGGGATAATCTTGAGCTTCTTTCTGATGGGGCCATTCATGAGTTGACTTAAGGTGTCTCCTTGGAGGTGTCTCACGTGGCGCTGACAAAGACGAACTAAAGGCAAACCGGTATACAGTGAGTCAAAGGCCTGGGAGCGGGACCCCAGAGACCTCTCTCCCAAGCTAGGAGGAGATGGCAGCACAGGAAAAAGCCACTTCGATCCACGTGGAGGGGAGAAAGGAGGCCAGAAGCAGGCTGAAATCGGATAGGTTATTGATAACCGCAGTCTGCACACTGCAGGGCCACTGCGACTACTCTGAACAGGCAGGCCAAGGAAGTCAGCTGAGAAGGGGAATCAGGGACGGAGAGTGGACTGGGGGTGGGGCTCAGGCATTCTGCAACCAAACCCAAGCTCGGCCAGCTGAGCGACCACTAAAGTCAGCCCTGTGAGGACTCAACACTGCAGATCAGTGAGCAGAAACTGCTTCCTTCCCCTTGGGGCAGCTCACCGGCAGAGCACGTGTTCAGTGTGCTCTAGTTCCTGGGTACCATTCCTAACCTTCCATCATCAGAAGGCATTGGCTCCCAGTGCTCCCTGGCCCTTTGGCTAAGATCAGTGCTTAAATTGCGTCTCAAATAGATTATGCTAAGGGACAACAACAAACAAACAAACGAAAAATAGAGGCAAAAGCTACTGTATGATTCCATTTATATAGAATGCTGAGAAAAGCCAAAACCCAGGGAGACAGAAAGCAGCTTAGTGATTGCCTGGGGCTGGGAGTGGGAAGGAGAAGTGACTGCAAACAGATGTGTGGGATCTTTTTGGGGTGATGGGAACATTCTAAAACTGGATTGAGGTGATGACTGAGCAACTCTGTGAATATACTTCAAACCACTGAAAAATTCTTCTGTTATATAAATGCATGTTAGTAACGGGGCAGGCCTTCCTGTGCAGAAGCTGGGTAGAGGCCAACCGCGGCAAGGTACACTCACCTAAGGGGCTTCGGAGGAATTCAAGGCTCGATTCCATAGAGGTCTCGGGAGTGCTTTTAGTTAAGATGTTATAGAAGTTTACCCCGTCTGTATTCTGAAATAAAGAGGCCATTCGGATGCTGTCTTTCTCTGTCCACTGGCGAAGTTGCAAAACAGAAAAGTGCTTGGCTTTCCAAGGATGACCTTAAGCTCACAAATTTACTGGACTAGTAAGAAAGCCTCTCTAAAGGCTTAGCCGGCAGCTGTGCCCGCCCACGCACCTGCAGCACACAGCTCATGGGAGCCCAGACACTGCTGGAATGCAAGGACCTGCGTGTCAGCGTACATGGAGTCGAGCAGCAGAGTCCTCTTGACCATTGTATTCTTTCCTTCGATCTTAGTCAGGGCGGAATACTACTTGACAAAGATCCCAGTAAGAAAATATAAATGTCTTTAAAATATACATCCTCCTGAGCATGGCAGTCTCTTTCCTCTGGTGTTTGAGACGTTATCTCATGTTGTACAGGATGGTCTCAAACTTGCTATGTCACCAGGGATGACCTGAAACCCCCGATCCTCCTGCTTCTTCTGCCTCAGAAGTGCTGGATTACAGATGTGCACTACCAACTATGATGGTCTCAGAGAAAATGGTCCCTAAAGGGAGTGGCACTATTAGGAGGTATGACCTCACTGGAGTAGGTGTGGCCTTGTTGGAGGGAAAAAGTGTCACTATGGAAGACGGGCTTTGAGGTCTCATATATGACCAAGTCACGCCAGCGAGACAGACCACGTCCTGTTGCTTACATAAGATGCAGAACTCCCAGCTACCTCTCCAGCACCATGTCTGCCTGCACGCTGCCATGCCCCTCCATGATGATAAGAGACTAAACCTCTCAAGCTGTGATTGAGCCACCCCGTAAATGCTTCCCTTCCTAAGAATCGCCATGGTCATGGTGTCTCTTCCCAGTAATAGAAACCCTAACTAAGCCGGGCAGTTAAAAGTGGCACACCTTTAATCCCAGCACTTGGGAGGCAAACAGATCTCAGTGAGTTCAAGGCCAGCCTGGTCTACAAAGCAAGTTCCAGGGCAGCCAACAGAGAAGTCCTGTCTTGAAAAACAAACAAACAAAAAACCCTAATTAAGACATATAATTCACTGGACCATATTTTTGTTTGTTTGTTGGGGTTTTGTTTTTGTTTCTGATTCAGGGTCTCATGTAGCCTAAGATGACCTTAAACTTACAATGTAGTTGAAGTGACCCTGAAATTCTCATTCTCCTGACTCTACCTCCCAAGTGCTAGACTATTACACAAATGTACCATTCTGCTTGGCCACCAGACAGTCTTTCTTTCTTTTTTTTTTAATTAAATTTTTTTTTATATTTTGGTTTTTCCAGATAGGGTTTCTCTGCATAGCCCTGGCTGTTCTGGAACTCAGTCTGTAGACTAGGCTGGCCTCAAACTCACAGACATCTACCTGCCTCTGCCTCCAGAGTGCTTGGATTAACGGTGTGCACCACCACCGCCTGGCTGAGACAGTCTTTCTTACAGAATCCAAACATTCAGTAAGGAACAAGGTCTTTCAAGCCTAGGAGGCTTTCTGACCCTATAAAAGGTCACTACATCATTGCTACAACCTTCTAGAGTATCACTCAGCATACAGGAAGTTCTAAACTTGTGGGAGGCCCCCGGGACAGGTGTGATCCTGACCACTCCAACTGTGGGTCCTATCCCCCATGTCATGCTCCGTCTTTACCTTTTCAATGACCGTCTCTGCTTTCCCCCACAGCTGAGTGGCCTCCTTGTAGAAGCCCTTGTTTATAGCATCGAGGACTTGCTCTGCAACTTCGGACACCTCGGCCAAGCCTTGGTCGTCAAGGAGAGACTGGAAGATAAACGGAGGACAAAAAGACCACTTGATTAGGGAGTGTGAGTCTGGTGCCAGCTGCAGCTCGTGAAGAGCAAGGAAGAGAAGGAAAAATGGGAGCTCACCTAAAGAGGACAAAACCACAAGCGTCAGAGAGGTGCTGGGGATCAAACCCAGAACCTTGTGCATTCTAGGCCATGGCCTACCACCGACTTACACCCCCAGCCCTAAGTCACATACTTATTAAGGAAAGAAACAAAGTAGACTGTTAAATGAATCAAGATAGTAGGCCCATGAGGGCTTAGGTTTAAGATGACCTACCGCTTTGGGGGAGCGGTATCTGAAAAGTCGCTTAAGAACAAGAGAATTCAAGATTGTGTATTGAGGAGGTGGATCTCTGTGACTTTTAGGTCATTCTGGTCTACGTGGGCTTGGGGGCTAGGGATGAGGCTCAATTTGTAGACCAGAAGCTATAGGACACATGAGATCCAGCCTCGGGATGGGGGAGGGGAGACATGACACAACAACACTTGGGGCTAAGCTCAGGTGGCAGAGTGCTTGCTTTGCGTGTCTGAGGATTCAGTTTCCAGCAACAAACACACATGACACACAATTTTTTCAAAAGAAAGCCCTAGAAGCACTAGTGAGGCACGACTCCGGGTGTGTCTGGGAGGATTCTTCCAGAGAAGATTAACTGAGGTGTGAATGTGGACACAGTGATTGAGGTTCCAGACCAAACATAAAGGGGGAAAGAACAACCATCGAGTACCAGCATGTCTCTCTCCGCTCCCTGATCTACCCGGACACAGGCAAGTAGCCTCTCCCATCTCTGCTGCTACATCCTCCTTGCCAAGACGAACCACACCCTCTCCAGCCTAAGCCAAACGAATCCTTCTGTCCTTCAGGTGTTTTCTGTCAGCTCACAGCAAGAGTATACTAGTACACTCTCTCTGAAGACCAAAGGAGGTCAGAGTCCAAGGAAGTCAGTGGTGCTGTTTCCCAGGGAGACTGTGGTGTGGAGGACCCACCTACTTACCATGCTGTACAGGTAAGGTCCCCAGGACAGCACTGAATCTAAAGAAAACCAAATGAGTATAAATTAGCTGTGTCTTGGGGCTGGAGAGATGGCTCAGAGGTTAAGAGCACTGGCTGGTCTTCCAGAGGTCCTGAGTTCAATTCCCAGCACCCATACAACCATCTGCAGTGGGAACTGATGCCCTCTGCTGGTGAAAAGGTGTATATGCAGATAGAGCACTCATATACATAAAATAAATAAATCTTAAAAGCTGGGTGTTGGTGGTACACTCCTTTAATTCTAGCACTCAGGAGGCAGAGGCAGGCGGATGGATCTCCATGAGTTCGAAGCCAGCCTGGTTTAGGCTTCAAGGCTACAGAAAAACACTGTCTTGAAAACAAACAAACAAACAAATAAATCTTGAAAAAAAATAGCTAAGAGCATCCCTCTGTCTTCCTTTCAAAGTGCCAAGAGACAAAGAGTAAGAAGCCAGGAGTTCAAGGCCATCATCAGCTATAAAGCAAATCTGAGTCAGTTTAGACAACATGAGAGCCTGTCTTGACCAACCAATTGAACAAACAAAAAACAACAAAAAGTCATCTTTTCTTAGAACAGCAGTTCCCGACTTAGGAGCCATTTAGCCTCCAGAGGAATATCTGAAGACATTTCTGGATGTCACACTGAGTGATCCTACTGGCATCTCATGACCAGAGGATGAGGCTGCTACAGACAAATGTCCAAAAATTGGGGTCGGGGAGATGGCTCACAGGTAAGCGTGCTAGCTGCACAAGCATGAGGACCTGAGTCAAATCCCAGGGCCCACATACAAAGCCAGGCTTGGCCGCATGAGCCTATAGTCAGTCCCAGCACGGTGTGGGGCAGAGACAGGAAGATTGCTGAGGCTTGCTGGCTACCAGTCTAGTTCCAGGTCCAGGGAGATGCCCTGTCTCAAGAAATAAGGTGGAAGACTGGAGAGAAAGCTCAGCTCAGAGGTCTACAGCTCTTCCTGGTCTTCCAGATGAACAAGTTTGATCTGATCAGATGGTTCACAACCACCTGTAACTCCAGTCCCAGAGGATCTGATGTCCTCTTCTGGCCCCTCAGGGCACTACATGCACACAGTGCACAGACATACATGTAGGCAAACACCCACATACATGAAATAAAAATAAATAAAATCTCAAAGAATTGTGTTTAAAGACATATGGTAGAGAGTAACAAAGACGTCTGATGTCCTCTTCTGGTTTATGCATGTATGCACACTCGGACACATGCATTTGCACACATGTATTAATATACCACATGCATACATCTCACAAACCCCACTACCAACAACAAAATGTCCTTAATACACAGAACAGTTCCCCGTAACACTACACTCTTCCAAATGGCCGTGGTGCTGAGGCTGAAGGAACCCAGGAGAGTTAACCGGGTCAGCCGCCTGAAGCCACAACACCCCGATCGTGTCTGAGATAGACCACTCCCGTCTGTGCTCCTAAAGGATTACAAAAGTGCAGACCTCAGAGCTGCAGGACATGACACCAACCTTGCCTCACCTCCACCGCAAGTCACACATGGAAAACTCACTGCGCATGCTCGTCTAGCGTCAGGCTGCCGGAGAGGACGAGCTAGTGACACAGATTCACCTGTGCCGAGTTGCACAGAACTGTATCTCCTCTTTCCGAGGCCACTCAAGCTGTCTGAGGGAGGATTTCAACATCCCTGAGTGTTCATAGCCATCTCTGACTGTAAACTTCGATTCCTTTGCTGGGAAAGTCGCAGCAGAGAACTCAGCTTGGTCGCAGAAGCGACGTCAATGACGACTCAGCCCCACGTACCCTGTGGGAATGACTACTGTCTGTGATGCTTTCCCAAGAACCCAGAGACTTCCGCTGCCCTCTCATTCTATCAGGACAGCACAGCCCTGTGGGATGGCTGCTTCTCCAGGCTTGACTTGGTCACCAGCACACAGCAGAGTGACCTATCAGAGACCTTGAACGGTAGTCAAGGCAACAAAATAAACGGAACTACACGGCAGCTAGTTAGGTCCGTGATAAGAGAGCAATCAAGGGAGGAAAGGAGATCACAAGACTTTGACAAGACCCTTCCTTTACACTCCAAACTCACTACTGCCTGCCCTACTATACATCATCCTAGAAATACTCAAATCTATGAGGTTAAACTTGCCTGGGGAGCCAGCAGGATGGCTCAGAGGAAAAAGATATTTACTGTATAAGCCTAGGACACAGTGGCACACTCCTTTAATCCCAGCACTCCTGAGGCAGAGGCAGGTGGATCTCTGAGTCTGAGGCCAGTCTGGTCTAGAGAGTGAGTTTTAGGACCACCAGAGCTATGTAGAGAGATGTTGTCGCAAAAAAAATTTTAAAATTGCCTAGGGACAGGACTTTTCAGTACACAGTTGTACAAGAGTCACCCAGGCTCCTGTAAGCAACACCCATAAGCTCCCTGGTCCACCAAGCAGGACTTGGATGGAATCTTTCAGTCTGCTGGTGCCGGAGGCAAAGAAGACCTTTCATTATGTTTCCCCAGAAGTCACACAATAAGTCCAAAGTCACAGACAGGGACAGGGATAGGAAAAAAGAGAGAGGCCTAAAAGCCACATACTTACCCACAGGGGAAATCCAAGAGTCACCCAAGGCAACCCCAGAAAAGTTGCACTTGATGGTCCCTTGCTGAATAGCCTGAAAGAAGAGCCAAGAAATGCTCTGACCAAGGGCACCAAGGCTCCCATCCCTCCTCGGCAGAAGTGCATACTCATGCCTTCCCCTAACTCACACTGTTCAAGTTTTCCCAGGCATCAGATGACCACACATGTGACAGCAGCCCCTGCCCACCGCCACTGGGAAATAGAGGAGGGGCTGCTGAGTTTTTCTCCACCTTATTCATGAGTGTCCTTGGGACAGGTATGGGGTCTGTCCCTAGTTATCTTTGGGAGGCTAAGGACATCTGTGTCCTGAAGTCTGGGAGCCTCCCAAGGTGCTCAGGGGCTCCTTGGGTACAGATACCACTGCCAAGCAGCAGTCACAGAGGCTGGGGCTCAGCAGGACAATCCTGAGGGTGGGTACCACTCACAGGACAGGAAGGCCATCCTTCTCTACACCAGTCCCAAAACAGAATGCTGGACACAACCTAAATGTACACTAGGAAAATGGGCACATGAACCATCATCATACGTGATAAAACTCAAGACAAAGCAGAAGGTGCCTGAAAAACCAAGGTGAAGGGGCTGGAGAAATGGCTCAGAGGGTAAGAGCACTGGCTGCTCTTCCAGAGGTCCCGAGTTCAATTCCCAGCAACCACATGGTGGCTCAAAATCGTCTGTAACGAGACCTGGTGTCTTCCTTGCCAGCAGTACATTGTACGCTTAATAAATAAATAAATCTAAAAAAAAAACCAATGTGAAAATATCCCCACAGCATATTATTAAACAGTTGAATATAATATAAGAATATGAGCCGGGGTATCATATAAGATATCACATATAATCACATGTATGGGTTACAGTTATGTGTATCTGGTAAAATAAAGAGACCAAGAGGCTGCCAAGGGGAGGAGAGCAAAAGCTAACTGATGTGAATATATGGAAAGAAGTCTGTGCTGAATGAAGAGCCCGTAGGGACAGCGAAGCCAGACGTCACTCATCTGGACGGTGTATTTGCTTGGACAAACTAGCTTAAAAGACATGCTGGGACCATGGAAAGAAGTCTGAACAGGAAAAAGGAGGGGACCCATTGAGGGAGACAGGTCACAGTGTGACTGCACTTTGGTTAGGATTTCATGGGTGTGAGCAGGAAGTATTACAAAGTACTAAAGAGTGGTGAGTGCCACCTGGTAGATGAGTTTTTCTTTCTTTGAGACAGCGTGTAGCCCAGGCTGGCTTCAAACTCACAACCTCTTTCCTCAGCATCTAGTGTTTGCACTACAGGTGTGTGCCCACCATACCTAGCTAGCTTATATTCTGATGTTAAAAAAAAAAAAGAAAGAAAAAGATGTGGGGGCTGGAGAGATGGCTCAAAGGTTAAGAGTACTGACTGTTCTTCCAGAGGTCCCAAGTTTAATTCCCAGCAACCACATGGTGGCTCACAACCATCTGTAGCAAGATGGTTGTAATGCCCTCTTCTGGTGTGCAGGTGTACACGCAGATGGAGCACTCGCAAACATTACATAAAGAAAGAAATCAATCTTTTTTTAAAAAAAGGTGTAGGGCCGGGCGGTGGTGATGCACACCTTTAATCACAGCACTCGGGAGGCAGAGGCAGGCGGATCTTTGTGAGTTTGAGGTCAGTCTGGTCTACAAGAGCTAGTTCCAGGACAGGCTCCAAAGCTACAGAGAAACCCTGTCTCAAAAAACAAAAAAACAAAACAAAACAAAACAAACAAACAAAAAAGATGTAGGGACTAGAAAGATAGCTCAGCAGTTAAGAACACTAGTTGCTCTTTCAGAGGACAGCAGACCTGGGTTCGATTCCCAATACCCACATGGCAGCTCACAACTGGCTACAACTCCAGTTCCAGGGGATCCAGTGCCCTCCTCTGGCCTCTGTGGGTACCAGGCATGCAGATACATACATATACAAATACACGTCTTTGGTACACAGACGTACATGCAGGCAAAATATTCATACGTGTAGAATTTTTTTTTAAAGAAATCTTTTACAAATGTACCTATTTTTATTTTCTATGTATAAGAGTTTACCTACAGGTATGTATGTGCACAAGACGCCATTCCTGACAACCTAATTTGATCCCCAGAATCCACAGTATAAGGAGAGAGTTCTTCAGACACCCACACAACCATGGCATGCACACACATACCCATACAACCATGGCATGCACACACACACACACACACCCCCACACAACCATGGCATGGTGCATGCACACACAATAATTAAAAAAACAAAACAGAGCAACCAGGCCTGTTCAGCATCAGGTAGGTATCTGAACGCAACTCTCGCTACTTTTTTGTTCCAAAACATCACCACAAAGTCATCTCCCATTTACCTTGTGAAGTTCTAGACTGATGCCAGCAGCCATTTTCCCTCCGTAGGATTCTGAGAAAATGTAGAACGGAACCGTCTAACAAGGAAAGAAATTTACCGAGAGTTAAAACACCCGGATTGCCTTTCAACTCACAGGAACTATCTCCAGATCTCTATAGTGTGCAGGGGTTGATAAACCCAGTCTGTTTGACTTTGCCCGCGATCTGATTATTAACATCTAGTTGGGTGATAACAAAAAGTCAGAGCCCACAACCCAGGAAGAAAAGAGGAAGTCTCTGAGAATCAGCTGCCGTTGAACTCTTTTGGTTTGCTTTTGCTTTCAAGACAGGATCTCTCTACGCAGTCCTGGCTGCCCCAAGGCACTGAACTTTTCGGGGAGCTTAGTATTCTGAAGACTTCCTTGTCCCTCTTGCTCGTCTTTCACGGCTGAACTGAAGAATTAACCTGGAATTCTTTTCTTTTTTTAAATATTTATTTATTTATTCATTATGTATACAATATTCTGTCTGTGTGTCTGCCTGCAGGCCAGAAGAGGTCATCAGATCTCATTTCAGATGGTTGTGAGTCACCATGTGGTTGCTGGAAATTGAACTCAGGACCTTTGGAAGAGCAGGCAATGCTCTTAACCACTGAGCCATCTCCCCAGCCCTTACCTGGAATTCTTTATGGCAATCAAAGAAGGATTTCAGGAGAACCATCATGTCTGAAGCCACCGTGTCCAGATCCTTTGCATAGGCATCGGTAGTGTTCACGTAACTGAAGCCAGTGCCCACAGGGTTATCCACAAACAGGAGGCTGGCCGACTGCAGCTGCAGGCACCCCGAAGAAACAACCATTGCAACCGGCGGTTAGTCACCAGTGATCTTCCTAGCAAGTTGGCAAAACCACATCTACCATAATACCAGTGTGCTGATTTTATCTTATTCTTTGAAGTGATTTTAGGGGCTAGGGAAACAGCCCAGTTAGTAAAGTCCTTGCCTTATGAGCATATCACCCTGAGTTTGATCCTCAGAACCCATGTCAAAAAAAAAGTTTGGCAAGGTAGTGCATGCTTGTAACTCCAGTGCTGCGGAGGTGGAGAGGGGTCTCACTCGGCAGTGTAGCCTAAATGGTGAGTTTCAAACCAATAAGAGAATAAGAGACTTTGTCTCAAAACAACAGCAACCCAAGGTGGATGCAGACACACACACACACACACACACACACACACACACACACACACACATACACATACACACACACACCGTACAAAATAAATGAAGATTTCTTTAAGGGGATAAGAATCTAAACTGCAACCAAGAAAGGTGAGACAAGACGAATACACACACAGGAACAAAGCCTTTAGGCCACCACGTCTCACACACAGAAGCACACTTACAGGGAACAGTGCAGGGAGCACCAGGCTGTATCAGTCTGAGCAGTAATTGGAGGGAATGAACATACATGTGGAATGCGGATGGCATGGGCTGAGGATGCAGCTCAGCGTTAGAATGTTCGCTTAGCATGCCTGAAGGGGGTTCGAGCCCCAGCACTGCACTAACTTGGTGGTGGACCATGTCTGTCATCCTAGCACACGGACATAGAGGCTAGAGGATCAGAAGTTTCAGGGCATCGTGGCTACCCAGTTAACTGGAGGCTGGCTTAGGCTTCATGAGATGCTGTCTCAGAAATATTTTAAAAAGAAATATAGATATCACATAGCAGTTTTCTTTTCTTTTTTTTTTAAATATTTACTTATTTATTATGTATACAATATTCTGTCTGTGTGTATGTCTGCAGGCCAGAAGAGGGCACCAGACCTCATTACAGGTGGTTGTGAGCCACCATGTGGTTGCCGGGAATTGAACTCAGGACCTTTGGAAGAGCAGGCAATGCTCTTAACCACTGAGCCATCTCTCCAGCCCCACATAGCAGTTTTCTTCGAGATGAATCTAATCTCCACCTTGGCCCATCTTCCTGTTTACACTGCAAGAACTAAATTTTTCAAAGAGGAGGAGAATTCTAAATTGCGCATCTGGAAGGAGCCTCAGGGATGCGCATCCAGCCATGTTCTTCACTGATCAGGAAGCAGAAACCCCTGAAAAGGCCCAGGACTCGTGCAAGCCCACAGAGGAAGGACAGCGGCTGGACCCCAAGCCCCTCCTCATTCAGGCTCTCTGCTCCCATCTTCCTGCTTTGGTTCCAGGTGTGGGAAGAAGGCTGGGGAGGGGAGTGGTTGACTCTGGCACTCCAGCAGCAAGCAAGATTAGAACTGTCTCGGGCCAAGAGAGAACGCTGCAGGAGGACCAGATGGGGGGAGGACCCGAGGAGCCTGAGGACACTGGAGGACACGCAGCACAGCACGGCATAGCGCATGGGGGCAGGAGAGCTCAGGCCGAGCTAGTCAGCAGGACGGACTCGGGCAGACTGTGAACTGAGAATGAGGATGCTTACAGAAGAAAGGGATGGGTTGGGGGGACACAAAGAACTAGGAAGATAACAAAGGCGGGGGGGGGGGGACAAGGGACTTGCAAGCTTGATGAAGTCCAGATGCGAGGGGAAGGACAAAGAAAATTTAAAGTAGTGGCAGATGGTGGGAGTGCAGGTCTGAGGCTGCAGATGACCACCTGTGCTTAGGCACAAGGTCACCAGCATCAGCAGCAGGGGATTTCAGTTTTGTTTCTGTTTTTTGTTTGTTTTTTGTTTTTGTAGTCATGGCTGTCCTGGAACTCAGTCTGTAGACCAGGCTGTCCTCCCACTCAGAGATCTGCCTGCCTCTGCCTCCCAAGTACTGGGATTAAAGGCATGCACCACCACTGCCTGGCCCAGTTTTGTTTGTTTTGAGTCAGGGTGTCATATAGCCCAGGCTAGCCCCTGAACTTGCTACACAGCCAAGAACTACCTTGAACTTTTTGCCCTCTATAGGTGTTCATTCTTAAGCCTGGTTTTTATAGTGCTGAGGTTTGAACCCAAGGCTCTGTGCATGTGAGACAAGTATCATACCACACTGAGCTGAGCCCCAGCATGGCTAGATGCTTCTGAAGGGCAGTGGAGAAAGGTCACCAAGTTGGAAAAGGCAAGAGACAACTGTAGGATACTCATTCAGAGACATGGGAGAAGCTGGGCTGGAAGAAGCCTGTGTGTAGGGATCCAAGGTCTCAAGAAAGCCCACCAGGGAGGACTGCTAACTCTGTGGCCCCACCCTGCCTGGCTGGAGCAATGGGGTCCAGCCTCTGAGAAGATGATGGGATAGTTAATGGATGTTATTGTACCCAGGTGGTATTCCGTGGCTTGAGATGGGTGTCCAGAGGCCCGATTTCCTCAAAGTTTCCAAATCCAGTGCTGGAACCGCCTGGACCACCCTGTAGAAGAGAAAGAAACGGACATTAACCCAGAGAAAATTCAACCAAGTCCCGGTTATTATAACAGATGTGCACACCCAGGAAAACACCTGGGCATCTAGTGACAGCTGCACCAGCCTGTACAAAGGACACATTTTTAGCTGGTATAACAGATGTGCACACCCAGGAAAACACCTGGGCACCTAGTGACAGCTGCACCAGCCTGGACAAAGGACACATTTTCAGCTGGTATAACAGATGTGCACAACCAGGAAACACCTGGGCACCTAGTGACAGCTGCAGTAGCCTGTACAAAGGACACATTTTCAGCTGGTATAACAGATGTGCACACCCAGGAAACACCTGGGCACCTAGTGACAGCTGCACCAGCCTGGACAAAGGACATGTTTTCAGCTGGGCGAGGAGGTGCACATCTACAATTCCAGCATTGAGGGGATGAGGCAGGGGGATCAGGAGCTCAAGGTCATCCTAAGCTACAAACAAAAATTTCAAAGCAAAGGACATGTTTTCTCCAGCTCCATAGTATCTGGGAGCTTCTGCATCCACCAAACTCCTGCAGGAGCTAAGCAAGTCTCTCTGGGAAAGAATGGAGATGACTTAAGAGGTCCAAGGTGGCCTTTCCTCCCTCTTGGTTCTCTGCCCTGGGGCTCACCGGTTCTAGCATCATAAGAGACCTTCAAAACACATCTCTAAATCTCTCTCATCTCAAAGAGCTCAAAGGCACAGAGATGGGCAGAACGGCTTAGCCCTGAGCCCCTGAGCTCCTGCAGGCTCCACTATAACTTGGCTTTTTGACTCTTTCTTTCCCCTCAGCCCAAGCTGGGAGACTCTCTCCTTAGGGGCCCAGTGGATGGCCAGGTAACAAGACTGAGGGGCACTTTGGATAAGCCTCGTCTCTGTGTACACCATAGCCAGTGTACAAGTCTCGGAGTGGGAGCATGTGACATGAAGGGGTTTATATGGGCAGCAAAGAGGTAGGACTCAACTGAAGATTAGTACCAGAGCCCCCAAACTGCAAAAGGCACTGGTTCCTATGTGTGCTCTGAGCAGGCAAAATGGGGCAGGTAAGGTGGGCTGGATGACGGGAAAAGGTCTTCTGGGAGATGGTCAGGGAAAAGGAGGGAGCTTTTCTAGGGGGTCCACATGAGCTGGGGGGCAGGGATGAGGGAAGCGTTATGGGTGGAGTCAGAGACGTGCCCTGGTCTACAGTGTCTCAGGGCAGGGAAGGATGGGTACAGAAGGAAGAGGGTAAAGGGAAGAATGAGATGGCACAGCGGAAGCCAGGGAAATCTGCCCAAAGACTGACTGGGGTGTGACAGACACCCATAATCCCTGCACTGCATGCAAAGGCAGGACAGGAGGATTACTGAGTTCAAGGCTAGCCTGGGCAAGACGCTGCCTTCGGGACAAAGGGGAAGCAGAGCTGGCAGGACAAGACAACAGGCCCTGTCGGCCAAGTGTCGCCCACACTAATGTTGTGAACTGTCACTAACCTTCTTGCTAAAATTCAGAGGCCCAGCTGCCCTGTGATTATAGGCACTTCACATGCTAAGATTTCTTAATACCGTGATGAAAAGATTGCAAACCAGCTGGAGATATTCATCGTTGTGCCACGAATAGCACCAGGGGGCAGGGCGCAACTCGGATGTCCTGCCATGGGGACGAGGGTGAGGAGCCACACCTGCACAATGAGTCATGTGGTCACTTAGAATCACAACTTCAGAAGCGGTGTGGCTCCGAGATAAACGCACAGGCACAGGCCACTACTGAAGTGTGCACCCTCGAACGGCGGCCGGTCCTCTCTTTCAAGACTTATCAGTGTGGGCAGGTCGAAAGCCAAAGTTGGCAGCAAACACGACTGAGAATGTCGGGGCCTGGGCCATTGGACGAGAATTTTCATTTTCCATTTCTGCTCCCTTTTCCAGCAGCTAGGAGAACTGACTAGAAGATTCCACTGTGTGTGTGTGTGTGTGTGTGTGTGTGTGTGTGTGTGTGTGTGCGCACGGGGAAGCCAGAGGTCACCACTGAGTGTCTGCCTCAATTGCTCTCCACCTTACATTTTAAGACAGGGTCTCTCACTGAACCTGGAGTTGATAAGTTCGGCTAGCCGGGCTGGCCAGTGGGCTCGAGAGAGCCTCCTGCCTCCACTTCCGCAGCACTGGGGTTATAAACTAGCCCCACTGACTCAGATTGTACCTGAGTGATGGGTATCTAAATTCAAATTCTCATGAGCCATAGCTAAAGCCCCTGCTATTTGAATAAAAATAATTATAATAACAATAAATGATCACAAAATCTCCCCCAGAAACTCTGGAAACAGCTGATCTATACAGCTGAGACTCAGGGTGACGGGTCCTCTGAAATATGATAAATGCGTCAGTGATGAACTGAAATGCTTAAATGACTTGAAAAATAGCTTACTATCCCTGAAATAGCTTACTATGCTATGACCTCAATTCTCAAAGAACGTCACTCCCCCAAGATGCTACCTCCTGAACCCTTGGAAGGCTGCTAACTAGATTTTTTTTTTCATCTAAATTAACTGTTTCCTCCTCAACCATATTCTATTCTTCTTCCTTAGGCCTCTGGGGAAGCAGAGAAGAGCAGACTGGTGTCTTCAGCTATCACCCTTCATATAGCATCTCAGCAGGAGGATTAGCCTAACCAAAGCCACACACCGCCCCCTCGCAAGCCAGGCAGACAGCACAAAGAACGCTTGCCTTGCAACTCGGGTTTTGGTTTCATTTTGTGTTCTGTAGTGCTGGGGACAGAACCCAGGGCCGCCTTCAGGGCAGGCAAACTCGGAACCACTGAGCTAAAGCCACCTATGAAATCCAGTGCTTTTCAAACTGGTTGCTGGAAAAACAGAAAGCGCCCTGGAGTAGCTGGGGACAAAGAGGCAGCCGCTCTGCTCCGTCCTGGTCTCAGCACTTCTCCTTTTTCCTCCCCTACACCAGCTTCATCTGAGCCAGAAACTTCTGCTGATTAACAAAGATTCTCAAAACCCCAGTGAAATCCCCATCCCCCACCCTCACCCCCACTAAGAAAACTAAAGTCCAGAGAAGGGAAGAGTTTCCCTGTGGCTAGAAGTGGAAGGAGAGGCCACTCCAGCCTCGGCTCTTCCGGGAAACCATGTCACACATTCAAAACCAGCTGCCAGCCCCGGGGCACGTGGATTCCACTGCTGACCATCTTTCAGCTGCGCTACCAGGCCAGCCGTATTTCCAGTCCCCCACAGAGGCTGCAAAGATCCTACAGCAAAACTGGTGATCTTCACTTCACAGCGACCTGAAGTCTTCAGTGACTGGCCTTGGGGCAAGGCCTCAGTTCCAGCAGGCATTTGAGAAGGAAGCCTCACCCATATCCCACAGAGGTGAGTACCAGGGTGCCCTAATTACAGGTGAGACACTCAGAACTTCAAGGTACCTCAGCCCCTCCCTAGAAATTAGTCTTCCGGGTGGGCGAGGCCACCATAGGGGACGTTAGAAGAATGCCACAGCGTCTCTGCCATCCCTAAACAGCTCACAGGTTTCTGTCTTCAGCCCTAGAGGTGGAATTCAGGGTTAAAATACAAACACACCATGGAGAAGAAGGGCGTGAGCTCACATTCATGCTAAGGCACAAAAAACTAGTATGTTATATCTAGAAAAATATATGTATATACGTAAGCATGCAATAATAATTAATGAAAAGGCCTGGAGGTGGTGGTGCACGCCTTTAATGCCAGTCCTCGGGAGGCAGAGGCAGAGGCAGGTAGATCTCTGTGAGTTCGAGGCCAGCTTGGGCTATAGAATGAGTTCCAGGACAGGTTCCAAAGTAACACAGAGAAACCCTGTATGGGAAAAAAACAAAAGAAAAAAAAAAAACCCACCAAAACCAAAAAACAATGACTGAAAAGAGAAGCCATGAATTTCAAAGAGAGCAAGGAAGGGTACATGGATGGGCTAGAGGGAGGAGAGGGAAGGGAGAAATTTTGTAATTATAATCTCAAAGTTAAAAAAAAAAAAAGATGGCTTCTCTGGGTACAAGAAGTTGGGGCCCAGGATTGTGTGGCGAGGGAGAAGTGAGCAGGATTGGGATACCTCAACCTTTGGTTCAGAACTTTTCAGACACCTTCCGTCTGTCGAAAGCCAACTGTATCATTGGAAGTTTTCAGTAAGGGCCCTTGAAACTGTCTGGACTCAATATAAAATGTCCCTGGAAAGTAAGGGACAGGAGTGCACACCCATAACATCAGCACTTGGGAGGCAGAGGCAGGAGGATTGCCAAGAGTTCGAGGCCACACTGGGCTACAGAGCAAGATCCTGTCTTCAAAATGAATGAATGAATGAAATTAAGACCAGTAAACAGGGCTTCCTTTGACACACTCTTGCTTCAAGCTGTCTCAGTGGCACGTGAGGAGCCCCCAGGACTGGCTGGACCAAACTGAGCCAGGCTTGCAAGGTGGATGCTCGTAAGAACCAAGTAGAGAGGTATAAGGGGGCCTGACCTTAAGGCAAAGAAGTTACTTTACCTGAAGCCACATGACCAGGGGCAGTTCTGAAAAGTTCTTGCAAGGGTTGGTGGCATAATAGAGCCACCAGAACATGTGGGCATCTTTTCGGACGGTCACATAATCCCATGCTTCCTTGCCTTCTTGTGCGGGCCAGTCGATGGCAGCTCCTGAAACTGAAGCTCAGTGTCATTTCCTGAGGAATATCTAATGCCCACGTGGGTTTCAAGCCTGGTGGAGATGGTCATCCAGGTTAGAGATGATCTTGTATGCTTTAGGTCATTCGCCTTCTCAGTATATGTGCTGATTAGAAAAAACAAAGACAAAAAGAAGGAAGGGAGGGAGGGAGGGAGGAAGGAAGGGAGGAAGAGAAAGGAAGAAAGGAGGAAAGGGTGGGAGGGAAGGAGGGAGAGAGGGAGGAAGGGAGGGAGGGAAAGAGGGAGGGAGGGAGAGCAAAAAAGGAAGGAGGGAGGAAAGGAAGGAAGGGAGGAAGGAAGGAAGGAAGGAGGGAGGAAGGAAGGAGGGAAGGAGGGAGGAAGGAAGGAGGGAAGGAGGAAAGGAAGGAAGGGAGGGAGAAAGAAAGGAGGGAGGAAGGAAGGAGGGAAGGAGGAAAGGAAGGAAGGGAAGGAGGAAGGAGGGAGGGAAGGAAGGAAGGAGGGAAGGAAGGAAGGAAGGAAGGAAGGAAGGAAGGAAGGAAGGAAGGAAGGCAGGCAGGCAGGCATGCTTGTGTACCCTTTAATCCCAGCACCTGAGAGGCAGAGGCAGGTAGATCTCTGTGCGTTAGAGGCCAGTTTGGTCTATGAAGTGAGTTCCAGGTCAGCCAGGGCTACAAAGTGAGACCCAAGCTCAAATAAACAAACCCACAAACCCACAGACCTCAGCTATGGAAAAGAGAAACTAAACACTTCTCTCTTGGGCAACACAGTGAGACCATTTGTAAAAGAAGAAGTCTGAGAGTGAAGCTCAGTTGTGGAACCTTGGCGTGACTTGTGCCAGGGCCTGGGTTCAGTTCCCAGCCAAGGTGGGTGGATGGGGTGGGGCAAGCAGGGATGGGAGATGGAGGGAAGAATCCCTGGGTGGCTTCTGCTTTTCGCTGCTTTCTCCTTCCTGCTTTCAAGCCTCTTCAGCAAGTAAAAGAACAAAAAGGGGGCCCAGCAGGAAGAGATAGAAGTGGGTGAAAAGATGATGCTGTCTTATGGCCAGGCCTATAATCTTATCACTGGGGAGATGGAAGACAGGAGGCTCAGGAGTCCATGCCCTGCCTAAGCACATGCTGAGTTTGGGCCAACTGGAGAAATAAGAAACTTTAACACACACACACACACACACACACACACACACACACACACACATACACACACACATACACATGTGTGCATGCCAGAAAATGACTAAGGAGCCAAAAAAAAAAGAGAGGCTGAAAAATGACAGGTGTGGCTGTGTCTATAAAATAACACGAAATTACAGGTTTCTTGAAAATGATCGATAAGGCTGAAGACCCTGGCATCTACCCCTGGTGTTTCTCTCCCTTCCCTGGCAGTGACTACTGTTCAATATAAGGGGGTCGGGGGAGGGACACCTTCCCTTTCCCAAGCATAAACTGTAGGGCCAAGTGAGTCCCCGCAGACCTGCTATGCAGCTTCCTAACAGTAAGGGGCCAGTTTGGGACCAAATAGAATTCTCAGTTCTTGATTCTGACTAGGAAATATTTTTCCTGCAGTAAGACTGAAAAATCAGGGGGTGGTGAGATGGCTCAGGGGGTAAAAGCCAGTTGCCACCAAGCCTGGAAACCTTAGTTCAATCCCAGGGAGCCACACAGTAGGGGAACTGATTTACCCAAGTTATCCTTTGACCGTGTGTGTGCACGTGTACACACACACACACACACACACACACACACACACACACACTGTGGCACATGCACACCTCTTCCACACTCACAAAACAAATTTTAAAAAATGCAAAGTAAATAAGTAAATAAATAAAGGCTGGAAAGCTGGCTCGGCTGGTAAGAGCATTGTCTGCTTTTCCAGAGGACCTGGGTTCGAGTCCCAGCATCCACATGGCAGCTCACAACCTTCTGTAACTCTAATTCCAATGGATTCAATGCCTTCGTCTAACCCCCAAGGGCACCAGGTATATACATAGTAACACAAACATATATATAGGCAAAACAAAAATTAAAAAAAAATGATTTTGGCAGGTAGTGGTGGTGCTCGCCTTTAATTATAGCACTCAGGAGGCAGAAGCCGGCAGATCTCTGTGAGTTCAAAGCCAGTCTGGTCTACAGAGCTAGTTCTAGGATAGTCAGGGCTACATAGAGAAACCCTGCCTCAGGAAAATAAATAAAGTGCAAGAACATTTCCAAATTATTCCACAAAACACAAATTTGCTTTTGCCCCAAAACAGGCCAGTGGAGTCAGCTGATATTTTGTCTGTTCTAACCCAGCAGAGGGGGCAGGCATTGTTTCAAAGCAACACCTCACGTTTGGTAGGATTTACAGGGGTCTCTTTGGCCTCTGATCTCAGTTCAATCAAATGACCCTACAAGTCACTAGGCCGTCAACCGAGCAGAAACGGGAGGTGGCCTTTAGACCTTAAAGTCTCACTCATCAGCAGTTTCCTGAAACCGTATGTTTTGGTACAACCACCTCTACCTCCGCAAAGAGGAACCACCCAGAACCAGGAAAAAGGCAGAAAAGGAACTTTGAACTAAAACATAAATAAAAATTAGGAGGTTCAAAAGCGATATAAATCAATGCAAGGGAAGAACGAGGGGGAGGGGGAAAATGTGTTTTTTAAAAAAGATCACGAATTCAGTAACAAATCCGAGAAGGAAGCACCCACCACCGGTCCGCCTTTCTCGGGAACCTACCTGCGCCGAGGCCCAGCAGGAGCGACAGCAGCAGCAGCCACAGTCGGACAGGACAGACTCGACACGCCAGCCCCATGGTGAATACAGCGCCGCAGCATCAGCAACAGGCTGAACCCCGCCGGCCGGCGCGTGACGGCGGTGGGTGGGGCCTGGGCGGAGTCAGGGCGGGGCCTAAGTGGGCCCTGAGGCTCCCCGTGTTCGGCGCGCCCTCTGCCGGTCGGACCCCCAGAACCTCCCGCCAGGTCTTTCGGATGGTTCTGCCAAGTTAGGTCATCCTTTGCTGTGTTAATGTAACATTTGATTTGGGTTACAAAGTAGGGAAGGATTGAGAAACTACCGAGGGCTAACTACCATCCTCCCTGACCTGTCCGTACTTGTCTTCTCCAACAAAAGGACCAGAATTTCATTTTGTAAGACTTGTTTTTATTACTTTATGATTGTGTGAGTGCGCGCGCTACCTGTGGGTAGTTATGCAAAAGAGGGAGGAGTGGGGTTCCCTGAAGCTGGAGTTACAGGCGGCTATGAGTGGCTCAGCATGGAAACTGGGAACTGAACTTGGGTCCTCTGGAAAAGCAACAGATGCTCTTAACCACTGAGCCATCTCTTAGTCCCAGGCCTAGCATTTTTGAAACTCCATTTGCCTCCAATCATATTAAGTGAAATGAAGCACGAACCAGAGGTCATTTAAGATTATGTTCCATTTGCAGAAATATGTTTTTAAAAACATCATTCTGGAGCGATGGTTCTGAGGTTAAGAGCATGATGTTCTTCCAGAGGATGTGGGTTTGATTCCCAGCACCTACATGGTGGCTCACAACCATCCCTAACTCCACCTCTCATATTCCAGGGGATCTGACACCTTCTTCCTTAGTCACACATTTTCATGTACAAGTATTCAGGCAAAACACATACAGATAAAATACAACGAGTCTAAAAATTATTCTTAAATCACATGTATCATGAATATATTAGAAATTCACAAAAAATAGATCATATACAAACTTTACCCATAAGTTTTTGGTTATATCTTTTTTTGGAGGGGGGGAATTTTGAGACAGGGTTTCTCTGTAGCTTTAGAGCCTGCCCTGAAACTTGTTCTGTAGACCAGGCTGACCTTGAACGCACAGAGATCCACCTGTTTCTACCTCCTGAATGCTGGGATTAAAGGCGAGCATTACCATTGCCCAACTAAGTTTTGGTTATACCTTCTTAAAAACAACAAAAATGTGTTTTTCTCTCTTGATAACATGTGACCAACATCATACATCTGAAAAAAATTAAGCCTCCATTCAAGGCAGAGGCAGATTGTAAATATGATTGACAAAGGTCACAACAGGAAAGTATCAGAGATGAAATATTCTAGAGATCATTGTTTGCATTGAAACCCACCAAGACCAGAGGGGTATCTGGGGCTCCTCCCTTCCTCTGCGGTTTTCCAGATGGCTAGCTTACTGAACCTTCCCAAATGGCATGCTTTTGAACTGGTTGTTTTATTCCGAGCAACACTTCAAGCTGTCGCGTGTAGGTCACAGGTACCCCGAAAGATGTGTGATGCTGTGCCGTTGGCCATGACACAGAAGCAGCGAGTTGCAATTGAAGCTCCAGGTGTCAGCCCGGCAGAAGGGCATTCTCTGATGGGCCAATCCCATTTAGGAAAAGCCACGGAGCTACAGACCCCGGAATGTCTTTTGCTTTTGCCGTGTCTTTCCATGTTTGCTGCAGCTCTCTTTCTCTGGTGTCTAGCATGGTGTGAGTGGATGTGGGGAGATCTCTGCTGCCTGAAATACAGTGTGTTTATCTCTTGGAAACATCCCGTTCTACTGAGCATTTTTACCTGTGGATTGTCAAGACGATGACCACTCCCTAAGCTGAACTGTTTGCTTTGATAACAATACTGATAGCTTATACAGAGTTTTGATGAATAAAAATAAATACAAGGATATGTTTCACAGCCAGGGTCTAAGTCTCACCTAAGGACACGCATGGGTTGTAGCTCAAGTTAATGACTAACAATTGAGTCCCGGTAGCTCAACTAGTTTAAATTCTTTCAACCTTAATGTTGGGAGATATGTTCACAGGTCTTGGAGTGTATCACAGCTGAAACAAAGCTTTGAAAATAAGAAAGTTAGACTAAGATGTCTTAGTTAAGTAACTTTGAGGTGAAAAGCCCAATAGCAAAGTTAAAACAAAGGCACATAGCTGAGCTGGGCAGTGGTGGTGCATGCCCTTAGTCCCAGCGCTTGAGGGGCAGAAGCAGGTGGATCTCAGTGAGTTTGAGGCCAGCCTGGTCTACAAAGCAAGCTCAGGATAGCCAGGTCTATTACACAGAGAAACCCTGTCTTAAAAAAAAAATAAAGGTCAGGGAACAAGAACAAAGCAGCCCAATTATTACAATTATTACTGGCTGACACACCCTCCTTGCTAGATTTGGTTGATGACCAAAGGCAATGATTCATTCCTTATATCCATTTCTGCCCTCAATCTCCTGATACAAAAAAACCCAAACCCTATTAGTGAATGGAATGCACCCTAAAGACTAAAGTGGAGTTGACTGATTCTTTGTCACATATAAAAGTTTAGTTTTGTGATTCCTTATAAGACTACTTTTCAATATAAATGATAAAGTAATTGGCCCTTTCTTTATAACTGCAAATTGAAGACTGCTGCTAAAAGACCTGACAAGAACACCTTGCTTGCACGCACAGTTAATCTATAACAAGTTGCTTGGGTATGAATGTATGTGGGTTCTTGGGATAATTTGTTTTTTACCTGTAATACATAAAATGTTTAGTCATGTGAGGGAGAGGAAAAAAAACATGTTTTTACCTACAATCATTCACTTGAAAAATGAAATGCAACCGTTTTGATTCTTGTATTGTCTGGATGATTCTGTTGGGGAATAAAATCTGTGAAAAAAAAAATCATGAGATAGAGAGAGAGAACAGAGAGAGAAAATAAAGAAGGAAATCATCAGGAGAGTTTGGGAGTGCCTTTTCCCCTAACTCCCCTCAGATAGAAAAGTCTAGCTTCACCAACTCCGTGAATTCCTGTCAAGGCCCTGTGCGGCTGGAGGCTGACCCCCCAAACAGCGGCAATGATGGCCTGCTAGATGCACAGCTGGGTTTGAAGCCCTGTTTTCAACTTCAGCATTTAAATTTAAATTGCCGGGGCTGGAGAGGTGGCTCAGTGGTTAAGAGCACTGGCTGCTCTTCCAGAGGTCCTGAGCTCAATTCTCAGCCACCACATGGTGGACTTGCAACGGTCTGTAATGAGGTCTGATACTCCCTTCTGGCCTGCAGGCAGAACACCGTATCTATGATAAATAAATTACCGTAGATGTGATAACAGGAATGGTAATTTACCTTTAAATGTAGGTACAGCCAAATACAGTAAACTAGGTAAACTAATAAACTAGGGCCCCGAGATGAATGAGTTCTCTGCGGCCTATCTGCACACAGCAGCTGCAGTGAAACCCAGAGCAAGGTGCTTCTGCCACCCGCAGAGGCAAGGAATCTGCCCTCCTTCAGTCTCATGTGGCTGTACACTCATCTGCTCTGTTCAGTCCTGGTTGATGGCACTTACTTTGCCTTTAGCTTTTTATTATAAAGTTGCTGTTTATTACAAAGTTGACAGCCTGGGGGATGCTTCTTAGTGGCAGAGTGCTTGCCCAGTGTGCACAAGGCCCTCTGTTCAATCTCTAGTATTGCAAAACAACCCACTGTTGTTGCCAAAATCACTGCACGGGAGTCTGTGCACGTCGCCGAACACCTATGATTCGAGGTAGGCCTAGAAATTCTAGGTCAAAGAGCACATGCACCGATCTATAATTTAGACAGATGTTGCCAAGTACTGCATGACAGTGTCCTGCAGAATGTCTGGCAGATTCTTTTATGAAGCAGGAACCCTAAAGGACTGTCTCACCTTTAGGCAAGTTCAGCAGTTGTTTTTCTGTGGATCCTGCATGTCCAGTTCACACAGCAAAGCATCAAGCAGTCCAGGCAAGAGCAGTTTCTTGCCCAAATGGCTAGCAAACTCCATTAGGAGCCTCTTTGATGCCCATCTTCCTCTTGAAGTAATTGGTGCTGCCAGGAACAGATGTGTCTTATTGTCATGAAGAGTCCTAAGTTTTTAAAACATTTTAGATGCCATATTCTGTTAGTCTTTGAAAGGTTTGAAGAATATCTATCTAACTGAAGTATCTATATCTATATATATATAAAACTATATATCTCTGTATATCTAGAAAACCTAACTAACATGACTACATGCTTGACTATTATAGATGATAATCTATTAACCTATATGTTTTAATTATACATATATTTTAAAATGAGCTGCACAAACACAATACCTTAATCAAGAGCAGTGTGTGTGTGTGTGTGTGTGTGTGTGTGTGTGTGTGTGTGTGTGTTGTAGGAAGGGCTGCTTGTTTGTTTCCCAGCCACCCAGCAGCTCAGACCAGAAATAACCATACAGAAACTATATTATTTAAAACACTGCTTGACCCATTAGCTCTAGCTTCTTATTGGCTAATTCCTACATCTTAATTTAACCCATTTCTAGTCATCTGTGTATCACCATGTGACTGTGGCTTACCGGGTAAAGTTCCAGCATCTGTCTCTGGTGGGGCTACATGGCGTCTCCTTGGCTCTGCCTTCTTTCTCTGAGTATTCAGTTTAGTTTTCTCCGCCCACCCGTATTCTGCCCTGCATAGGCCTAACACAGTTTCTTTATTAACCAATTGACAGTTTCTTTATTAACTAATTGATATAGATGGGTCTTTTATCTATCTGTTGTTTCATTGGTTAATTAATAAAGAAAACTGCTTGGCCTGATAGGTCAGAACATAGGTAGGCAGGGAAGACAAAACAGAATGCTGGGAAGAAGGGAAATGAATTAGACGCTATAGCTCTCCTCTCCAAGATGGACGCAGGTTAAGATCCTTCCCAGTAAGTCATCACCTCATGGTGCTACACAGATTATTAAAAATGGGTTAATCAAGATGTGAGAGTTAGCCAATAAAAGGCTGAAACTAATGGGCCAAGCAGTGTTTAAAATGAATACAGTTTCCGTGTAATTATTTTGGGTAAAGTTAGCTGGGAGCCGGGCCGCAGCCCGCCACTCCCACCACTAC